CGGTCAAAATCCTTGGAGAAATCCAGGTAGAGCACATCAACACATTCTCCAGCGTCAGTTGACTCAGTCCAACTACTGCGTGCGGTTAGTAAATTCATTGTACATGACCCCTGTCGACGGAAACCGTGCTGCTCAGGAGTGATGATGTTGTAGTTTTCCAGATAGCACACCAGTGCATCGGCAACTATGGATTCCATGACCTTGGAGAGTATAGGAAGATGGGAAATTGGGCGGTAGTTGGAGGGATCAGTTCTGCTTTCACCTTTGTGAATCGGCGTTATTATTCCGAGCTTTCACATGGCGGGAACTTGGTTCCGGTCTAAGCAGCGCTGGAAAAACTGAGCTAAAGGTCCTGCCAATTGCTTTGCTGCTGCTTCCAGTGCCTCTGGACGAATGGTGTCGACACTCAGCGAGCTGTGTTTGCGTAAAGACGTCAGCTTTTGCAATACAGCCCCCGCTGTAAAAGTGATGTGGGTTAGTCCTGGCAAGGAGAAGACAAAGCTTGGTAGATCGCCTAGTGGTAAGACTCTATGAAACGTGGGAGCGTATTGCATCTGCAGCGCGTTTTCTGCTTCCACAGCCGTTCTTGTTGGGCCATCAGCCGTCTTGAGTGGAGGAAATCCTTGCCTCACCTTTCGTAGGCTATTAACGTGCTTGTACAGCAGTTTGTGGTTAACACTGAAGGTTTTTTCGATGTTCTGCTGATAGGCGGCTTTGTCTTCCCTTAACAGTTGAGTGCAGTGGTTGCGTTGGGCTACGTAGTTGTCCCAAGTTACTTGTGCTGCAGCTTCTCTGTACACTCACCATGCTACGTTGCGTTCTGTCATCCATTTTCGAGTTCTGTTCCTAACGTGAGAAATTGATTTACACTTACAGCAAACGTTTAACCCTGAAGCCTCTGCAATTAGCTGACTGAATGTTTTGACGAACTCGAGCCAGGCGACTTCCGGGGGTTCTTCTTCGAGGAACGACCAAGTTGTGGCGCTGACTAGCTGGGCTAATCGATCGTAGCTTGTAATGGTTCGCACAGTCTCATCGTTCTCATTCAGATATTGTGCATAGCAGACGAAGTTGAAACTGATGACTGCGTGATAACTGCGACACAACGTGCAGTCTAAAACCAACACATCAATCATATGCTCCTCGTTGGTATGCACAAGATCCAGCACAGATGGCCTGTAACCTGTTCTGAACTGAGTGGGCAAAGTGATGTGATTGTAAAAAGGCACAGTAGTTAATAGGTCTTGTAGATCGGCTTTGAATTGTTCTCAGATCGTGGCGGGAGTTTCTAAACAATGCACGTTGAAATCCCCCATGATAAGAATGTGTGTACTTTTGTTATAAACTGCATTTTAAAGCAGCCGCTAGGTAGTAGTCGGTTTCGGGTGCGGTACATCAAGACAATAAGTCCCTGCCTTTTAACTGCAACCGGCACCAAAGAGAGTCGGGGAACTGCGAGTCTCAATCCTCCACGGCTTCGAAGTATAAGTCGTTTCGGTAATACAGGATTACCCCTCCTCCTTTTGTAAGCTTGTCCTTCCGGATCAGCGACATGCCCGGTAACGAAACTTCAGTGTCCGCCATTCCCGTGTGCAACAACATCTCGGAGATACCAATGAAACCATATGACCCGGAAGCTTAGCGATCTTTCAGTTCGGCCATTTTGTTAGAAAGACCCTGAGCATTCGTATACAAGCAGGCCAGTTTCCCAGTCTCTAGGAGCCCACAGAGGGGTGAAGGGGTCAAGTGTGGGAGAATGCTGACCGACGGGAGGTCGGCAATTACTCGTTTTTTGATGGGATAATGATACCTCGTTTGCAAATTGATTCGGCCAAGGTGCGTGCCAACCTTCGTTTAGACCTACGACAGAGTCAATTAAAGCAGCAGTCAAGTTACACTTCTGTACATTCGTCAGTATGCTTGCTGCTTCAATTGCTTTAATAGTTGAGCTGTGCAAAACGTTTGCAATCTTTGACCGAATTTCGGAAGGAAGATATTTCCGATTTCTCCGCCATCGATCTAAAACATCCATTGTTTGTTGCTCTGACTGAACCACAAGTTTTAGGATTCTAGGGCCGCATCCTCTATAATTTGGTGAGAGAGGTATCCTGGAGCTCGTCAGTGGTGTGCATCCTTCAACTCATGAGTAACATAAGAGGTAGCCCTCCTAGTTTTAAGCGCTGTGGACTGAGTGTCTAGTGAGAGGAAGTCATGACCTCAAAGAGTGGCCACTGTCTGTTGCACTGGTAGGAGCCTGCGTGACAGTGGAAGATAAGTCGCGTTATATCATACGTAGCCTACAAATTATGTAGCTCAACCATCGTATCCAATAGATCAGTGGTTTAAGTTGCTGGTTAGTTGGCATCAACCTCTAGCGGTCATGGGTGCGATCCTCAGTAGGAGACCGAGGGATGCGCACCACTGACGAGCCGCAATGGGCGGAAAGCGTGTCTGACACTTTTCCGGAATGAGGATTGTGTTACGTAGCGGGAGAGCTGCTGGGATAAATACATTAAAATTAGCACTTACGTTTATTTCTGATGTATGCCCCTAGTCAGCACATGATCTAATCTCAATTGAACTGATCGAATCCACCGTTACGCGCATTTGACAGTCATCGTCCTGAGTGTAGTTTGCTGCAATTCGGAAGAGGAACCCCGTATACATGCAGACATATTCACACCTGTGGATTGGAAGAGTGTACCTTAGCTCTAATCAACCCTTTCTCCACTGCCCAGTGGCTGGTGATTTGTATGTGAAGATATACAGACAAGCAGTGTTAGGTGCCACGCCCATGTAGTGGAAGTTGGCCGTTTGGGTGAAAATGATGAATACGGAATAGGCCAATCAATTGTCGCCGACGTGGATTGACCACGTTGACGAAATCGGATTATTCCGAATAACACATACCAGCCAACGAATCTAGACTAACGATACGGAATGAAATGGCGGCCGACCACCGAGGTAAAGGGTACCAATGCATAGAAATCGAATCAAGTACCACTCAGGAAGGTTGACTGTACTCTAGCGACCCAGCCGGGACAATGGAATGTTGGCGCGGACAAGTATAAGCAAAAATCAGAGGAGTGAGTTCGACTGAGCCAAGCAGACGAACAATGAGTTGGCATTGTAAGTAGACCGGGCGTTCCAAGTTTGGCACATACACGAAGTGATAAGAAATTTCGGTGGCATTCCAACCGCCTATACTGTGTGGCCAGCATTAGCGAGTAACCTATCAGCACGGCATTGTGGTTCCGTTTCAACTGACGACAAGCATGGTTTGAATTCTTCAGGATCTTCATAGAAAGTAGAAGCCACGATTAAAATTTGCACATTAATCTGCCTCGACAGGTAATCGAACCCCGGACACACGGATTACCTGTCGGAGGCAGATTATTGTGCAGTTTAATCGTGGCTTCTATGTTCTACGAAAATTACACTACTCACAATAACCACCAGTAATCTTCAGGATCTGATATGCCATTACCAAATCGCTATGCAGGCATCGATATTATCCACTGTAGACTCCAAGCGTCTTCAACTCATTGGGCAAGGGAGGTGAAACAGACCCATTAGATTGCTGATCGCCCTTGGTTATGGCCTTACAAGTGTCACGAGGTGATGCTGTTGCCAAGGCGTATTCCGAATGGGGTCTAATGTGAGTGTTGAACAGCTGAAAAGTGGAAGGATCAAACCACCTGAATGCTCTCCGCGATAGGTCAGGGTGCTGTTTGGCTTTTTGAATGTATTCTCGGTCAAAATCGTCTTGCACCATCACTTCTAGGTCGCAAGCAGTAGAAGCGCGTTGCAGAAAACCTGTTCCACAATACTGTATTTGCAAAAGAATTAACGGCGCATGCTCAATGTCTTACAACTGGTGGGGTTGGAATGAGGCAGATGCTGAGTCGCCCACTCGTATGCCCTAACAAGATCATATTGCATTGCAACGTGGTCAACAGTTGTTTTGATGACCAGTCACATTTTGAAAGCTTCAACGTAGAGAAAAAAAATTTGAGGTGAGCAACCTCGCGAGGCTGATTATGCAAATCAGAAATGGACGTGGAGCAAGTACTGTTTCTTGTGGCACTTTGCACTGGAGTTCGATAGAGTCAGAGACGGAGCTGTGAACTCTCACATCCAGAGGTCGTTGAGGTAGAAAGTTATCAGTCGAACCGATGACCGGATCACCAACTCCACAGCTCCGAAGATTGTAAAGAAACATACCGTGGTTCAGACGGCAGGACCCACTTGAGAAGTCCAGATACACTGCGTCAATTCCAAAACCGCTATGGACGGTTTTAGTCCGACTGGCGCGAGCAGGCTTGTAGTACAAGACCAGATGAATAGCCAATAGACATAGACGGTAGAGGACAGGACAATGAGAACTGACTAGCGAGAAGTCGCTGTATTTAAACAATGCCTAAAATTTAGGTGCAGTACAAATGATTCTATGCTTTATGAATAACTGATGTTATCCGCCACCCAGACTATGTTTCGACCATCGGAGGGGCGTACGACAGATTCGCCATCATTTCCACCGGTTTGAAAAAACTCCAGTTTCCCTGGCTACGTTTCGCCCCTTTATGGATGTTCTTAAACTTCGGCGTTACAGTTGTCCGAAAGCAGGACACCATATTTCAGCTGAAACAGATGAACATTCGTTAGGGAATTCAAAATTTCTCAACGCTTGCTGGTTCGCATGCGGAGCTGTTCTCTGCAAACGGTAATCCCCTATCTTGTGCAAAATATCGGGGACATGAATTATCAAAGATAAAAGTACATTATCATGTTTTTTTATTTCGCTGTACCGTAGACATAGTGTACTGTCACTCCGCGGTCTCTATTGTGCGTCACGACTGGACACCAAAACATGGTCTGTCAAACACAAGTACGTAGTAGGTAAGGAAAAACTATGCTACCAGACTAATTGAACCTGAAAGCTTACGTGTTTTGGAGGTTTCGACAATTGCACCACTGGAAAGTGTATCAGCAAGCCCATCGATCGCCGCCAACAATTTATTTACAACAAGGTGTACAAAAACGCCCTCGCCCGTACGAAGTACACTATCTCGTGAAGTCAAAAAATATTAAAATTTGTATGCATATTCATAAGAGATCGGTCAACCCCACACCGCATCCAAGCCAGGTCTTTGCCCAAACGCGACGCATACCCATTGGTGGCGATCAAAACAGTGGATTAGGTGTGGGTCTGGTACACGAACTGTTCTCTTCATTAAGCTGCCGAAACGCTTCTCGGATGTGTCTCGGTTGCAGTGGACCGGTTTCGCCCAACTTCTCTTTGTAATCCAAAGCTGAAAGATGTAGACGGGATACAGAGTAAACTGGAATATATGTGAAAGAGTCGAACACGAGACATTATGTAAGAGAAATGGACAAAAAGCGTGATCTACGAAGAATTCGTAAGCGTACATAATGACGAAGTTGAAAGTGTACCCACAATATAAGTTAAAAATTGCACTGGAAAAGTTCGTTTTGATATAACTCCCCAGGGATTAACAAATATAAGGCAAAATTTTAAAAACATAATAGAGTGCTGTAAGTCAATGCAGGTCATAAATTTGTTTTGGTCTTAAAAATCATAAATGGATGATCTGTCCTCCGTAATCTCGACCAGCGTTACCCTGTCTGCCCTCAGTGGTGTGCGCGTTTTGATCATGAGGCTTGGGCAGATTGATTAAACCAACAGACAATGACGTATTGTAAAACCTTGATCATTCCCTCCGCAGTCATCTATTCAGTTTATATGCAGCCTAGCGTTTTCTTAGTCTTGCTCCATAAATGTGAATGCCTGATGAAATCTATCGAGAAGAATATTAGTTGTGCAATTATGAATCTGTAAGTTTTAAGGTCCTAATAGTTGAAAGAAGGCGTACTCCTCCAACAAGAAAAACATGAATGGAAAACAATGAAGGCTAGAGAAGACAAGCGAGGACAATGACTAGTAGTTTGGGTCTAGCACGGTGATTCAACTTAAAATAACCAAAACCACTAAAAGACCAATGTGCTAGTCCCTGCAAGTTACATAGAATATTAATAAATTAATAAATTAATAAATAAAAATAAATAAAAATAATAATAAAATAAAACTTATGAAGGTATATGCAGGTATCGAAATGTTAGTTCTATGTATACGAGGTTCGAAGCAGGACTGTGCTACAACAAGAAACATGGCACATTGTCATTGGATACTATAACACCCATCTTAGAATCGGAGGTCAAACAGTAGTATCAGAGTTTCCTGACATGTTGTGGAATCAGACACAACGCTCAGGTGAATTTCTCACAACAGATTCGATTAAATTAGTCATGCATTGTGTTAAATTCGTAAGGACACGGGGTTAAGCAAATAGTAAATGAACCCGGATATTAAGAATGGAAAGCAATAATTGTTGGCGCCTTCAAAGCTTCGATCATATCAGGTCTGTGTATCGAAAGACAAGTTATTAGCTACAACCAGTCGGTGTTTGGGAACAAAACTACTGTTGTCCCATTGATGTCGCTACTGCGATTGAACTGTCTACACGTTATATCAAAACATTCGTAAATCGGGCAATTAGTAGTAACGGTGTGCACTTCTTGTTTGGGGAGGGGGTTGAAGATCCGAAGTGGCCAGCTGGTTACAAAGCAAGTGATCATCATCAACAGCAATACATCCGTTACGTGGACTGATGCTTTGCTGACGTACAAGCACAGTGATCTAAGGAATGAAGAGTATTCAGAGGGAGAGAATAGAGACCTGGCGTAAAGCCTTAGTGCCCTAACCAAACATCCAGGGTCAAAATGCCTACACCTAGCCAACCACATAACGTCATAAACAGCTGGCTGTCGTGGAAAGATAAGCCGGCATAGGCAAGACTGCTTCTTTTCGTCTGTCACTGCTCCGAATCATAACCAACCATTGCCATTGTCAAACATGTAATCCGACTAGAAGAGGAAAACAGACGCGCTGCTGGTGCCAACTACAAGCCAAGCATAAGGCCGGTGACGTGGACTCCAGTCTAGAAGGCGAGACGGACTAACAGCGCTCCAGTTTTGTGATCAGTGACTTCGTTTCTCGCTGCCAGCCTTGAGCACTGCGGAATGCTACATCCAGCAAACAAAACAAGGTCTTCAAAGTTGGATTTGGAGCATCCGCTGTGGTTGGGTTGCTAAAAGCAATCTCTATTGAGACCTCGGTTCACTTGAGGTGGACCTCGGTCATTCCGATCACAAGGACCGTAGGTAAAATGGAAATATTATGGTGTTGCTCATCCAAACACCATAAAAACAAGGTCTTGATTTTCGGGTTTTGAAGCATCCGACGTGTGTCTTGGATTGCGACACGCAATCTCATTCGTGGCTTCGGTTGATTTTGAAGTCAGCCTCTGCCAATACGGTCCCTGAGACTTTCACTGTAGTGGAGTGTTTCGAGGCGGCCCTGTCTCATCCCTGCGCTCCACAACGGACGGTTTCATCTTGGTTTAGACTTATCAGGTAGAGATAGCCGAGCTGGGTAAGCACTGACCTTGAATGCGTAACAAGTGCCAAAGCCAATGCAACAGACTCAGTGTTATGTGTTGTTCTAAGGAACTAACCTGATGAGCACTCGCCTACGCGCATCATTGTTGCGAGCATGCTGATACCATCCGAAACCAGTAATGCGCGCAGGGAACGATAATCAAAGACTTTAAGTTGCCATCAGGCGGTTGCAATGAGAATGGTGGAAACGAGCGATGCAGACAGGATGTTAGATGGCTAGACTCTGCTTTGCGATTGTGCCAGAAAAAGGCTATGAGATCGAACAAAAGTGGACCACGTAGACAGCTTGGTCGAATAAGGTATCAGCAACACGCCGGTAGGCAGTACCGACGCTTCGCTGCCGCGCAAATACGGTCAGTTGCGCGTGGACCAAGGATATTGCGAAGGTCTCCCGGTCCCTACGCAGGCTCGAACCCGCTCCCTCGGAATATATGGCAGGTTGGTGATCCCTAGTCAAGCTAGTGCATGCCATTTGTTCAGATGAGGATTATGTTGTCGGCCGCATCAGCAGTTGGAGGCTCCGCCTGGCAAGTCTATGGTGTTAATGTATTCGGCCCATAGTTTCTAATTTAATATCTGAAATCGGACATCCTAATGCGTTCCTATGATTTTTTCGGTAGACTTTGTTGGCATAGCTGGTATCCCTCCTGTTTTCATGGTTTTTTTTGCAGAGGAGATGCGAGTGAAGGCAATAGAAGTCAACACACCGCGGTATGTAGATAAGTACTCTCAGCTGCACTGAGCCGAACCGACACGACAAAGACCGTCGAGCATGGGAACGACCTATGAGGAAGCGTACAGGCGTGACGTGAGCGATGAGGTCTGAATACATGATTTATGCGGTAAAATTGCATGAAACTAGGCTACTTTCTTGGTAGATTGAATAATCAGCTGACCTGGAAAAGGAGGGTTCGGGTGCATACTTAGTAAAGCCGCACATAAGGTGAAAAGCTGGAGCGTGATACACCTCGGACAAATGACCACACACGCATTGATTGACACAGTTAGTGCGAAAGGACCTGGAGTGGTACTGCAGAAAAGCAGTTAGTAGCATCAACAGATCTATGCTGGGAGTACTGGTCTAAAGTGGACAACAAATTCGGACCACCAGTGTATACAAAGTATTTTATGTCGTGTCAAAATGGCACCTAAGTTGATTGGAAGAAGTGTCCCGTTCAAAGTAATCGCAACCAGGTTAGCACAGCCTGAACTATGCAAACCGAGGTATTTGTGGAACCCACATTGCCATGATCGTAACGGGATTCCAGGCATGTTAGCGTTCAACTTCAAGTGGGACTGGAACGATAGGATGAATCCTGTAAGAGTTCATTCTTGAGCTTGTCGTCGATCCAGGGGTTGATAGCGGTGCTCTGATTTCTTGACGGGTCTAAAAGGAAAACAAGCGACAAACACCCTGGTCCACCAATGTAATGCCCACATACCTTACATTAGCTGTCCTGCTATGTCAGTTACGTGAAGTAAGAGAGGAAGAAAAGTCGAAGGTAAAGAGTAAAGGAAATCAGTTAAAAGAAGAGAATAATACCAATGGTGAGGGGAAGTACAGCAAATAGAATTGAAGTGTGGAGATGGGAATTAGGAAAAAAGAAAGGCTTCGTGTTGCCACCCAAGAACATCTATTTGACGCTCAAACTCCTTAACCGTAGCTTCCTTGACAACATTTTCTGGAAGCAAGTTCTAGCGCTCGATGACTCAACGCGATAACCGTGTCTCCGCTCTAACTCGAGCGGACCGCGGTTTGTCCAGCTTCATACAATGCCCGCGGAGACCAGATAACCTAGCAGGACTAAATAGCCAGGACAAATCAGGGCCAACCTTCACAGTCAAGATACGGTAGGTTAGGATTAGGTCCCCTCTAATCCTTCGATAGTGCATTGAATGCATCCCCAAAGTAAATAAGCGTTCGGGGTAGCTTTGTCCTCGTAACTCCTCGACCAATCTAGTACCGACACGCAACACCCGTTCTAGTGCTATTTTGTCCTGGACAAGGCATGGTGAACAGGCCTGAACGCAATATTCTAGGTGGGGTCGCACAAACGCTGAGAAGAGCTTCACAAACACATTAGCGGTTAAGGTCCGGAAAGAACAAGGGATAAACCACAACATCCAGAACCTTTTACTAGCCGCCTTCTTCTAGTTGTCTCCAGAGTGTAGTGTGGAACAGTGGAGGACACCTAGATCAACCTGATGAGTCATGTGAGGAAGTACACTCCAATCGAGCACATAACTTGTGGAGGAATCAGACGCTACGATACACAGCGCTGAATACTGCCCGGTTTATGGGCAGCAACCACAAGACAAACCATTCTCAGAGTCTATCCAAAGCCCGTTGAAGAGCCAAAGGACCGGGTGATGGGGTGGCCACTTCTCTGTCCAGTACATACGCGCCGTCACTTCGTGTGTGTGTGTGTGTGTGTGTGTACACGTGGACCTTCAAATCAGCCGTTGTTGTTTCTTTTTGGATCAAATTCTTTAAACAATCTACAACGGACTTTTAAAGCAGTTAATTCACTTTAGAAACCTGAAAAGCGCGGGGTAAGAAAACGAAAGCTGGCAGATACATGCATCTACAAAGGATTTGTCTATTTTGTGATGCTGTTCTCCTATTTTTTATATGGATGCTTGCGAAGTCAACAATGTAATACCGATTTTTTAAACTGCTAAAAGACGCTACGCGAAACGCGTCTTATGTCGCATGCAGATACGTAGTCAGGTAGCTGGTAATCTGGAATCAGACGCTGTCCTATTAATAGAG